ACCCAGAACAAACTGAGGGTTGATGGGGGGTGGGAGGGAGGGGAGGGTAGGTGATGGGTATTGAAGAGGGCAACTTTTGGGATGAGCACTGGGTGTTGTATGGAAACCAATTTGACAACAAATTTCATATATTAAAAAAAAAAAGAAACAAATATCATAAATAGCATTCCACCTTACCATTGAACTCATTAAAAACCCTGGAGATTCCCTTTGCCTATTTTTAGAATTTCAAACTCATCATCTTGTAGGCTTTACCTTTGGGAAAAGGGATTTCTTCCCTAGCATAGCTTTCTCTTCTGATCATTCACATACTCATCCCTGCACCCCTTGTCTCGTAATTCATAAACCATGGGATTGCAGTTATCTGTACATTCTTGAATGTAAGATATAGAAAGGGTACTTGGTGTATTTACCAAAGCACCAGAAAGTATATTCTCTGTGTCACAATCTACCTCGTGATCATACTATCCAATGTCTATAATGTTACGTACACACAACCCATCCCAGGAGTCTTCAAGAAAATGTTAACAAAGACTTTTCATAAGTAACGCAGATACAAATATCTATAGGGAATCTATATCCAAATTCTCAACTTCCATATATTCCCTTTCCTAAAACTGACCTGCCTACAAATGCAAGCACCTGCAAGCAACCAGTTTTCCTTTCCTCTTTTTCCTTTCATAATTGCCCTGTTTCAATTTTACAAAAAAGAAAGCATACATCTCACCCATCCCAAACATTGTTATGGTGCATTGCCTCCTGGCTGTAAAAGTCTCAAGAATATATGCAAAGAGATAATTCAAGAATGCATTCATCCTGGGGTCCATCCATTAGGAATAAAGCAAGAAAATCAGAAGGGGATATAGTTTGAATTCAGAAGCGAGAGAGTTTGCATGGAATGTATTAACATGTTAATTTGATCTAAAAAATGAAGTCAGGTGTGTTATTGATTGATAACAAGTCTGACTTAGCTAAGGAGTTTGGCAATGAGGGCTGATTTAGCCCATGCAACCATATGGTAAACATTTTTCATGATTCAGTGAAATAGACAATAGTTACCGTTAACATGTTTTTAACTATAATCTCTGCAGCTACTTAAAGTTATAATAAAAAGTATTTTATTTTATTTTTATTTTTTAATGTTTATTTATTTATTTTGAGAGAGAGACAGAGAGTGTGAGTGGGGGAAGGGCAGATAGAGGGAGAGAGAATCCCAAGCAGGCTCCTCACTGACAGGGTGGAGCCTGACGTGGGGCTAGAACTAATGAACCGTGACATCATGATCTGAGCCGAAACCAAGAGTCGCACGCTTAACCGACAGAGCCACTGAGGTGACCCTAGATAGTAACTTTGAAATTTGCAAAGTGGTATGTCATTTTTCCAAATTATTTTACGAGGCAAATTAAGCGAAATTTTTGAAGATCACAGACAAATACAATTTCTATATCCACCTCATAGCAGTCCTTTCTCATCTCCTCTCATTGCTTTCATTTTGCATACACTTTTTATGTTACACTCATGATGAAAATTATTTCATTCTGTCATGACTGCCCAAAATGCCCACACAAGGCTAAAGCCATCAACAAATAATGCAAGCTAAAGCATCTTAGAATAAGATCATTCTATTTGCATTTTCTTCAGCTTTTCCCAATCTTCTAACATACCTATAGAATTCTCTATATAGGAAAAAGACGTGCCATTTCCTTGTAGCTTTTGCATTCACTTCATGCTGTATCCTTCTCTAGTCTATATTCACCAAGAACAATTATGATCTACACATTTACTTTAATACCAAGTGCTGAAAAGCAACATTTTTACTTTCATTTTCTCATACATGGATTTGCTAAGGACCTATTTTGTGTCCAAGTACATTGCCACATAATGGGATCTAAATAAAGTTGGGTAGGTTAATTGTGGTCTATTTGGGAAATGACG